ACTAATAGCAAGATTTGGGAGTCTTCTGGAAGAGTTAATAAGACTTTTTAAGACTTAATAAGACTTTTAGTAGAGAAATGGTAGGTACCTATGGCGATAAAAATAAATATCCAAAATAATTCATATTTGGTTATCGTAAAATAAAACACATAGAAAAGTATTTATTAACATTTTTGCTGTTGTTATAAGCCAAGTTTATTGCATAATTACCTATATAATAACATTAGTCTGACTTAATAAAACTTATTCAGACTTTTTCCGACTTAATAAGTCTTATTCTGACTTTTTCCGACTTAATAATATTATTCAGACTTTTTAAGAGAAAGTAAGACTTTCTCAGAGAAAAATTTCCACAAGGGCAATTACCACCAACAATAAAAATAGGGAATAAGCTTTGATCCCCTTGTATAATCTAAGGGAATAAGGAAATAAAACAGCAGGCGAATATCAAGTATTTGGGAGTTACCTTCAACGAATTCCTTAATAGGAACAATCAGGTTACGGGAATGATTGCTAAAGCCAACCAAGGCATTAATGTAAAGAGAGCAATAGCAAAGGTTTACTGGGGAGCAGACCCCAAAATATTGTTAATGGTATACAATGGTCTAGTAAGATCACAATTACATTTCGGATCAATTTTATTAAGTCCTATACACAAAAATTTAAAAAATAGTTTTCAGTCCACCCAGAATCAAGCATTAAGGGTTATTACAGGCACTATGAAAACTACTCCAAATAACGCCCTACTTGCAAAATGTGCAGAACCCCCATTATCTGAAAGAAGAAAATGGTTAACAACCAAATTTTTATAAAAAATAATTCAATTTAAATCTCACCCCTTAATTTCCATTATGGCAATGCTAAAATAAGACTGCTCAAAACCAAACACATATTGGAAATCAAAAGAATACCCCTACATCATCCAAGTAACACCCCTACTTAATAAATACATAAACAAAATTAGAAGAAGTGATCTCATGCCTTGCTTTGAAATCGAATATTGTTACCAGTTTACCCAAATTAAAAATAAAAATCTAAACTTAAGAAAAAACTATACAGGGTGTCCCATAATTAGCGTGCAATACTTTAATAGCAGATTCTACGTACAAAAATAAGAAACAAAGTTCCTATAAAAATAGGTCGAGAAATAATTTCCAAGGGAGCTACAGCCCCCGAAAGAGGAGCCCCTGAAGATGGTTTTTATTTAATATCTCCATAACTGTTTAAGATAGAAAAGTGAAATTTTGGGATATAATCAAACCTTCTAGCCAATAAGTTGGAATAATAACAAATTCAAAATTTTCATAAGGGGTGGGTCAGATAGAAAGGGAGTGGGGGTAAAACTACCCTAACTTTTTTGTACGTATCTTGTGCTATGATTTGATATCAGATCATAAAATTTCAGACTTATACACATAAAACTTCGATAGCATGAACCGTTTTCGCTTAAAATCGATTTAAAAATTAACTTGCATAGCATAAAAATTCATAATGAAATCACAACTAGAGAAAAAGATTCAGCGTAGGCCATGGACAATTATTAAACATGGCCATGGACAATTTTTAAACACCCTGTCTAGAGATGTAAAAAAACGTTTTTTTTTCAGATGTGAAAAACATGCAACGCTCAATTCTAACGAATACCGTAATAAAAAAATTCGAATTTTCTTTCTTTTTTTTTTGGTCCACGGAATGTTCTGACTTAACCACCAATGAATAAATGTTCTACAAGAATTTGCTATTGTTTTTTTGAAAAAAAAATGTCCATACCTACATACATGAATTTTAAAAATCATGAAAAAAGTGCTTTTGGTAGCTTTTTGAAAAATCAAGCGCTGAATCAAAAATATTATAGGTAGTTACTTTTTTTAGGACCAAATCAAAACAAGCGCGGCCCTTATTGGTCAATTCGGTGGTGGTGGCGCGTGCATAGCGCGAGACTGTATTTACATTTACTAAATGTCATTTAGTCACTGAACTGGTCTGGAAACATTACAAATTACTACTTAAACAATAAATACTCATCAAAAGACCAATATACCGGGTGTATCTGAGAATAGGCGCACCCCTGTAACTTTTTTATTTATAAAGATAGACACATGAAATTTAGCATGGTTAATTAGGATATAATAGTACAAAATGAATTTTTTTAACTTTCGGTTTCGCCGAAAATTATATCAACTTTCGATTTTTAAATGTAACGCCCTATATATTTTTACATATTTAGAATCCTGAGAAAATTCTGAGTCGGACAGCTTCCTTAATTGACCTTTCGACGTTTCGTCATCAGAAAATGCATCATCATAAATATCAATCTAGAGTGCTTTGAACTATTCGAGAAAAACGAATTTTGACAAGTTTAGACTGCTGGGAATAGCTGAATAACAACTTTCTAAGGCAAGTTCCATTTTTCAGGCATTGTGTGAATCCATTAGAAGAAAATAAGATAGTTCAAAGCACTCTAGATTGATCTTTATGATGATACATTTTCTGATGAAGGTCAGTTTAAGGATGCTGTCTGACTCAGAATTTCCTCAGGATTCCAAATATGTAAAATGTATAGGGCATTCCATTTAAAAATCGAAAGTTCGTATCATTTCCGGCGAAACCGGAAGTTCAAAAAATTAATTTTGTACTCTTATAAGTGGCATTTTATATTCTGATTAACCATGCAAAATTTCATGTGTCTATCTTTATAAATAAAAAAGTCACAGGGGTGCGCCTATTCTCAGATACACCCGGTATATCGATTGCCACTAAAAGGTTTATTACAATAGCCACAGAAAATGATTTTGACTTTATATTAGCATGGGGACCAGGACACGACGAAATCCACGGAAATGTGGTTGCAGACCAACTAGCGAATATTGGCGTAAACCTTAATGTCCCTTTAAACTTTCAATCAGAGATAATAAAAATACTACCTGAAATAAAAAAAGAACTTTACCAAGCATACAACAAGGAATGGTTAAAATCATTTCCCAGAACAGGGAGCTGGTATGGAAAGATAGTCGACGAACTTCCGAACAAACCGTGGTTCTATACCAACAAAATACAAAACCGAAGACAAATAACAGCTATGATGCCCTTCAGATGCGCTTAACCCTTATGCAGACGCACCTCTTTATACAACGTAGTAGGTCGCGCGGGGTTTCAGAGACACTCCTAATGGCAAAGCGTCCCTGAGTGTTATTTACATTTTTTTGTTTTTTTAAGGTTATCAAGTTAAGATGAGCTGAGAGATAATGATAACATATATCGTTGCGTTTAAATTTGACTATTTCCCTCGTCCTAATTTCCACCAATCACAAACGCGCAATTTTGAATTACAAATGGTTTCTAGGTGAAAAAACTGTGTGACAGCACCTGTCAGCAGGTTTTTCGAGTTTACCCGCGGCAAAACTTGACAGCTGTTGTCACCAAAAATTGCAATTTATAGTCCGGTCAAAATAGACATTCCAAATAACTAAAATTCCGACAGAGCTAAATTTTGGTAGAGACCTTGGGTACACCAGTAGAAATAAAGTGCCAAAAGTCCCCATTGATCCCATGTGTGCTAAAAAAGTTACTCAAGGTCAAAATTTTCGGTTTTTTTGATATTTCTCGAAAACGGTAAGTTTTATAAAAAATATATTCCAAAAAAAATTGTAGATCATAAAATTGTTCCTTATACTTTTTTTCCTAAGAATCACCATTCCTAAGATATCGCCATTCTAAAAGTTGAAGGAGTTACATTCTACATGATATGCACACAAATACCACGTATATACATAGTCAGGCACTTAATATAATTAAAAATGCCTATTTGTATCTCTTATATGTTTAAACCATACAATTCTGAGAATATACAATAAAAGTCCCTTAGCCAGTCCCTTCTATATTTTTGTCTAGTCGAATATGGTTTTAGTTTACACACGTAGCACATGTGGCAGGACCGGCGGTTTATCTTGGCGGTTGCTTGGTAACGAAATCAACAAACTTATGATGGCTCATATACCTGCTTTTCTCAAGTGGTTAAGTGAAATAATTTTAGTGTTGTTCGTTCCTTTCGAGTGAATACGAGTGAATGCATGTATTTATTGCTAGCGTCTACTATTACAGTTTTGTGGGTAAAAGGCATAAGGGGATAAGTCAAAAAAGAGCATTTTTTCAGTAGAGTCTTAAACATATTGGCATTAATTCAGGAAACATATTTATGTTTAGCGGTTATACCCTTTTGTTAGCACATGCCATATGCTAACAAAAGCGTATACCCGCTAAACATAAATATATTTCCTGAATGAATGCGAACACGTTAAAGGCTCTATTGAAAAATTGCATTTTTGACTTATCCCCTTATGCCTTTTACCCACAGAGTTTGTACCCATTAATATTTTTAAAAATGTCACAATTATGCTTTATTTGCAATAAACTTTTGAGGGAAAGTGAAGCTGTTACAGTTAGTCGTAGAATGAAAACTTGATCGATGCCAGTATCGAAAGAGGTGATGAGTTTGTTGATTATCTGAAAAGTAAAAAGTCTGTAACAATGCACGTGGATTGCCGAAAATCATACACCCGGAAAAGTTCAATTGCTGTTATCAAAAGGATGGACAAGCTAGTACATCAAAAGTAAGTCCACCTCGTACTAGAGCACGAGAAAGTGAATCCGACTTTTGTTTAAAAAATGTTGCTTATTTTGTGACGATGAAGCGGATCGCCACATGCCACATCGCCACATGCATCGTCGACAAAAAATTTATAACGTTGCTACACTTTCATTTAAAGAATACGTTTTGACAGTAGCTCGTTCTGATTAAGTATCAAAAGCTGTCACTGAACGCATTAAATTTGAGTATGATTTAGTTGCTGCTGACAATTCTTACAAACCTTTCCTGAGACCTAATACTGGCAGTAGAGTAGGACTTCCTCAAGATGAAGCAGCAAACTTTGCGATGGAGAAAATTCATAATTTTATAGAAAGTAGTGATGCATGATATTTATAAAGAAACATTGTTTCAGATGGCCTTTTCTTCGTTATATGAAGAAAAATGTCCGTTTACCAGAGACTACAACCTAATAAAAGCTGAACTAAAAAATATAGACGATTACGATAAAACCTGTATAGAAACCGCTTTTCATGGTGTAAACCAAATGGTTCTAGGAGAATGGGGTAATAATACGGCCTGTCAGGTAATAACAATATTTGGTAATAAACTTTTTATTTGTACCCAAATTTTATTTGTATTCTAGATCATAATGATAACAGATGGCAGCACAGGTGTGGGTAGCCACTCTCTTAAAGAATCATTTGCCACTTTAAATCAAAGAAGCGCCACAAATCAGTTTCCAATTCCGTTTTCGTTTCCTGCAAAACTCCACATTGTCTGTGTGGCGCCATCCAACGACCCCAATCTTATTAAATGTAAGCAATCTTATTTTTTTAGAATAACCCAGATAGTCAAATAAAGGGCTAAAAGATACCTATGCAATTGTTTTATCCTGCACGTAATTTCGTACACATAAAAATATTTTTATTGGGCAATCGAATAATTCAAGCTCAAAAAGCAAAATTAAGCCAATACATACTTTATGTTAATATTAAAAAAAATATATAATATATATTTATATATGATAACATAACGCAGAAATTGTGTTATGATTGGGATATGTGAATTAAGTTTATATCAACCGTTAAAAAGTTAATGAATACTGTTGAAATTTAAATAACATAGCTTTATGTGTATTGTACACAGAATTAGGCAATAATAACCAACGTTAAACACTACAAAATAATGTTAATATTGAGCAAATATCAATTTACCCAATTAAGATAGGCAACCCTGTTCCGACCATAGACTACATGGTCTGTTTCCGATCCATTTACTTTTGAATTTTTGGTCGTTAGGCGATTTTATCATTCCACATCACATAATCATATTAATCTTTGTTCGTAGCTAAACCATTATATCAAAGACTGGTAGACTTAAGCGGTTACGATGGTTCAATTTCGATACCAGAGCATATACAGGGTGAAGCTGCTGTGGTGACGATTTTTCAAAAACTAGCCGAAGATACATATACATCCTTTAAGGGTACTTTAAAATGTGGAAACTTAGAGTCAAAAATAATTTTATCACCAACTCCAGTGGTAAGAATCTCAAACCTGACAAATGTACATTTTTCAACTTTATTTTAATTTTTAGCCATACAATAAAGCAACAGATTTTGAAACACAAACTTTAGAAATAAGTAACTTAATAGAAGTATGTGGTTTTATATCCGTTTCAGATGTTGGTTCCCCAATGGCAGTCAGTAGACATTTAATTTTACCAGCCAATATAAATAATAAAGAAAATGTATCAAATGAGATAGATCTTACAGGTATACATTTTTCATTTGCGTTTTTTTTGTGATTTTTTATTCAGATTAATATGATTCAGATTTGGTTCTAGACCTATGTTATATTGAGTAGCTGATTTAGTAGTTTTAATAACTTTTACAAAATATTTAGAACTAAGGATCTCAGTAAAAATGTTTGCTTTAGATGACGATGCAACTGATGAAGGTAAAAATCCATCTTTTTGCGTTCTCCTCCATGGAGCCCTAAAAGTTGAGAACATGACCGCTCTGGTGAACTTGGGCGAGAATTGGTTTGGATTTGTCTACTCCTATGCAGATTCCAAAAAAAAATCAAATCTAATGTTAACGATTTTGGCCCCGGGCTCGGACGTGGTACCTTGGCTGGGCGACCTCAACTATCTGGCAGCTTCAGATACAGTGTTGCCAGAGCAGGTGGGAACTTTCCCGGTAAGACCTAGCGAAAAAAGAAGTTATTCACAAAATGGGGTTGTTTGGATTAGGCAGGCAGGACTTCAAAGTGACATTCAGAAGATTTTGAGACATGCAAGAAAGTTGCCTGAGAAAACTATGCATTTTTATAAGGTTTGTATATCGTGTGACATTTCACATTTGTAAGAAATATATAATGTTACAATCTTCTTGCACAATATATAATTTTAATATTAAAAAATAAAATGGATTTTTATAGGAGTTAAACAGGCTTCGAAAAGCAGCCATTTCCCTGGGATTTTTAGATCTTTTAAATGGGTTGGCCGCCATTTTTGAACAAGAGATGCTTCAACTACCGGGTAGTGCGCATCCAGATTGCGCGCTACAATTACAACACGCGGCTGAGGTTTTAAGAAAAACGCAAAATATGGACATCAAATACACAGTAATGCCACTACAGACAAACTATACCAGTTCATAGCATTCAATGAATAATACCATTGTTATTAATATTTAAATAATTTTAAGTTAAACATTTTTTAATATGTAAAAACGTTGTATAATCTGTATTTACAATTTGTAAAAGTGTGAATTGCATGCGTTCAAAAAATAAAACGTTTTATTGTAACTACTTTTATTTATTCATAAATTTTAAATCCACAATCTTTGTACTATTAAATTGCATTTAATAAACTCAAAAAGTACAATACAAAAAAATATAAATAACAATGAAAAATAGTTGACTTTTTATCAACCAAGTATGTAAATGTAAATAAATACTAAAAAACAGTCCTGATAAACGATACAAATAAAAATGACGATACGATTTTGGCAACGAATAACGAGTTTGGTTTATTGCATTTTTTTCGCGGTTAGTGTACAAGCAGCATTGTACATGTTTGGAAAATATGATATTGCAAAGTATGCCACAGCGAGATACATAACAATAGCCAATGTTAGGATGAGATCAAAAACTGCTGGCTTAACACTGCAAAAAATAAATGTTAATTATATTTGTTTTTATAAAATAAACAAAAATTTACCTATAAATATTCATTGTTCCTTTGGTAACTTCATAAAATTGGAAAGAAGGATCACGTTTATCAGGTATTGTGTAGGTAATTTTAACGTCACGTAGGTTTTTTCCTAAATTATCCTTAAGATAATTGACTAGAGGATTTTCTTTGTTGCTTAATAGCTGAGGTGAACGCGGTTGAGTGGACAAATAATTTAGCCAAGTTTCAACATAATCCTTACTAACATCCTAAAAAATAAAATGTTTTGTTATTTAAATTTTTAAAAGTGAATAGGTTAAAATTGATTTTTAAATAAAGTGTTTAAAAATTAGTGTGAAATTTAATTATATTTAATAGTATATTATTTTACGAGAGATAATGCAGGCTATTATTCAAAAGAATGAGGTTTGCGTCTCGAGCCGTCAGGCGAGAGACGTAAATCATCCGAGTGAATAATGCGCATTATTTCGAGTGTAATACTATGCTTTTTCTACTCCATTTAAGTTATTTTCATAAAGGCCGTATTACAGCCGGCAATTCTTTCGGCAATTGCAATGAAAATTGCCATAGGCATGCGCGGTAGATACATTTCGACGAATCTCTTGCAATTGCCCAAAATCGGTCCGGATGGATTTTTATTGCCGTTTTACGGCAATTCTGGGGTGAAATCTGGTAACTTTTATGTTACCAACCCTACTACAAATTCCCTAGAGAGACGCTGTTTGACAAACAGTTTAAGGTTATTTGTTTTATGATTGGCATTGTGTTCAAAGTTCTAGTATCCATTTCACTCATTAATTTTTAAATATCTCTACTAAATAACAAATAAACTTAGTGTTTACAAAATCGTATATTTTTCTTCGGTTGGTAGCACGGTAATAAACAGCAAGTTTTCTTGCCATTGCCGGCTGTAAAACAACATGCAAGACGGCCTTGAAAACTAGATGGCAAGAAAAATTGCTGCAAGAAGAATTGCCGGCTGTAATACGGCTATTAGAAACAAAATGTATTATAACCTCACTTTTAAAAAATCTGACATCTGTTAACCTTACTTTTTTCCAATTTAAAACCCGATTGGTTTAAATAACGGTGAATATTGAAATCAGCGAATCATTAGGTAGCTTTAGATTTACGCGCAACCACGCGCGATTGGAGCGCCACGTTCCAATTGCGCGCGAAAGAACGTCAGTGTAAATGCTAATAATCACTCGGTTTTTAGACGTCTTAAAACCTGCATGATAACCCACGTTCTTTCCCAAGGGATTTTGTGCAGTTCACTTTTTTAAGTTGTTTTGACTTTCGCGCGGTTAACCTTGTCAAATTTCAAGACTGTATAATTCATTCGCAAATAATTTTTAAAATCCATTTTAAAATTATCACGCAACTCATTTATCAAAGGCATATATGCCATATATGTCCATATTTGTTACGATTTTCCATCCATGCTTTTACCCAACAAGTTCTTGTTGGGTAAAAGTTGTTGGCAACAACTCCTTTTCTGACGATTATTTAGAGTATTCAGATAGGCCAAGCACAAAGCTACTTTTATTTTTCATTTTTGGTTTTTATTTTTGTCCATGTTCGACAATCCGTCTATAAAACTGTTGAAATTTTTAACACTCCACGAGACAGGACTAGCACGAGTGAAACTTGACAGTTTTTGATTTACACTAGCACTTTTATCCTCTACGATTTACAGTACAGGCCAAAACCGCGCGATTGGAATGTTGCAATTTTAAGAAAACAAATTTTACAACGCGACACTCTTGGCCACGCGAAAAAACGCGCGATTGGAACGTGGCGCTCCAATCGTGCGTGATAGCGCGTAAATCTAAAGCTACCTATTGATGCCTAACAAAGTGAATATTGAGTCCATTATTCAGGTTGTCAGGCAGGGCAGTTATATTGCTTACCATTATTTAGGAAAAAAAAACAAATACAAATGGTTAATTAGAATCCCTTTAGAAGCGATTTCGTTCAAAACTGAAAACTACTAAAAAGCCTAAATTAAACAACATTTTAAATATTTTCTAAGCGTTAATTTTATTAAATAACTATTTTTCTTATAAAAGGTTAATAAGAATGTCATTTTGTAACCTGATAAACGAAGAAATATCTAAAAAAAAATTGAGATAAATCTTTTTTGCGTGTTATGCCAAAACCGTTAATTTACTCCTTTGCTTTATTAAAAGTGATTTTTGGCTAACCCTGTATATATGTGAACAGTATTACAATTTATTAAAAATCGGTGTACAAATGTGTACTCTGTCAAAGGTAAACTCTGAGATAAACAAAAATTAAAAAAAAAATCATGAATTTTCAAAAAAATTCGAAAAGAGCAGCTAGGATTTTGGTAAATATAATTTTTATGTGTCTTAAACTTCGTTCAGGCACACCGTGGTCAAAGAAGGTGGGTATATAAAATTTTATTTTCCATATTTTTACTGCTGCAGCAGTGCTGCTGCCAAAAGTAAAGTAAGTCAAATGCAGAGATTGAGCTTGCATAGTCATTGTCAATTTCTGCTGCTACTGGGGTGCATTCCAATTTCACTCTTGCGTCAGTACTGAATAAATGATAAAAAAGCCCTTTTGGGCAGTAAATTACGGAACATAACCAAAGTAATTTAGACACTGTAAAATATTCCGATCCCCAATAAGGGAAACAGATAGTTTGATTTATTGGACGAATTTATTTAATTTAGAACAATAAATAGTAAGAAAAGGTGCTTTTCAGATAAATTGATTTTAATTTAAAAAAATCCATAAAAATCAGGTTTAAAACGTACATACTTTTGGTAAAAGTTTTTGTCAGGTATTGGGAAAGATAAAGTAAAGAAAACGATACCTTTAAAATTTAAATACGAATAAGTAATTATTTTTTATAAACTATTAGTTAAAAAACGACCCTTGGGTCCAAAATTTAACAATTGAGGTTCGGGCAGCATACGCGTTTGTGTAATAATGCTCGACTTCGAAAAATCGTAGCAATGTCAATTTTTGTGATAAAAAAATTAATATTGGACTTTTTGAAAGATCATGTAGCAATCTACTTAAAACAATCAAAATCTGGAAAATCATTAATCTAAGGTTCTTTATTCGGAGCGCGTCACATATTTTATAAATAAGGTGAACTTGAAAATGAGAAAGCCACATTATTGTAATATAAAATGTATGCATACAATAATGAATTATTCTTATGAACTACTTACCAAAGATTGTCCAAAAAGATCTCCATTGGAAATGTTATAAATATGACTTGCCAAAGCTTCGGCTATAACCTTAGTATTTCTTGTCAGTCTTTCCACGCTTAACCGACTCTTAGTATCCAAAATTGTACCTCTTTGAAAATCTCTGTGATTCTTTAAAGTGGACATAGTAAATGCAGGCAGTCTTTTAATACTATATCTCTCGTGTTCCCATGCAAGTAAGGAATCAGCCAAGTTTATTTTTTTGTGAACACCTTCTACAGTTACGGGTTGTCTAAGTTCGGCTGAAGCCTTCAAGTCTTTCAAAAATTGGGAGGAATGAGAACCTTCTTTTGGAGGTTTTGATACATGCATATATAAAGTGTCACCTGCTGCTAAAGTATCAAGGCACATTACGAACGAGGCCTCCTTTAACAAAATAAAAATGTTAATTTAATGTTAATAATTTACCTATTAATATTTTAATCTAATTTAAATAGGGTCGCAATGTAGTTAACAAAAAAGCTGCTTACCACTCCACTTTTCAGCTACAATACAGTGTGTAACATAAAGGTTTAAAAAATATGTAATGGTGGATTTCTGAGTAAATATTACTTTTTTTCTTTAAAATTATGCTCTACGGTTTTTGTTTTTACAGGGAGTTAAAAAAATAAAAGTGTCTGTTTAATTACTTTTAAACACTAAAAAAAGGAAACGAAATATTATAATATTATAAGCAATTACTATAGTAATTGCTTTGTTTATTTATTATTGCTTAAGTACAAGTAAAAAAATACTGTTACTTAGTGGCGTCATTTATGAACTAAAATATGGTACGCCATTGAAAAAAATATTGTTTAATTTTTTTAATTTTTTAAAATTTGCATTTTATTTTTAAAAAATTACCTTTTGTAAATACCAGTTTTTCTCAGCTTTAAATGGTAAATAAAGGCCACAAAAACATAATAAAGAATAAGCATTAAAACAAAAGCTATAAAATTTATTTTTTTTATCTTCTAATGTTTGAAAGTTATTAAAAAATTTAACACCCTGTAACTTGGACACGAAGATCTGTAAAGCATAACGCTATATCTAAAAAACATTTTTTACCCAAGAAACCAATGTTTTACTCAAAAATTGTAATTTAAAATTACCATGGGTGTTTAGGACCAATTTTTCTTTAATATTTATGTCCAAATTACTTGAAACTATTAGTGTTAATCCAAACCTTTTACCTTTTTTCACATTCAAATCAAATCAAATTAAATCGTTTATTTTTATCCCAAAAGATACATTCTACAAATTAATATAATAATATAATATTCATGTAATCACCCAGCAAACAGAAAATGACAAGCGACGTCGTATGGACGTCAATTTTTGGACATTTCTGTACCAAATAGTTTAGTACCAAAATAAAACCTAAAAATGACGTACATTTCTGACCATTATCTGACCAGTTATTTCATACCAGAATAAGACGAATATGCGACGTCAACAAAACGTTTTAATATTCGCCAATATGTAGGCAACTCATGCATACCTCTTGCCCTATAAAGATGGAATGCCTTGAGCTGCTAAGAAAGGATTTCTTACTGAGGAAAATTACTGGCCATGGAAACGCTTGGCTTACATGCACAAAGGCGCATCTGCTTGGAATTTTTACGCCGGCTGGTAGATCTCCGCTAGGAGGTCGTGGATGACAATGTCGATGGTTAAGGCCATTCCCGGAATTTTGTCGCCGGGCCGACCATACGCCCAATTTAGACTAGTGGAGAGCGGGACAAGGAGGGAAAACATGTTTGTTTGTACTCCTATTACGGAATTTGACCGTTCTAATATCACTTTTATCTATGGAATGACATATATTCCGTAAAGTGTTACAGAATGAAATATTCTATCATCGGATGACAGAATAAACACTCGTGGCGACATCTCTGTTTTTAATATCTAACAAATTTTAGACCGATCCAACCTCACTTCCAATTAAATTATTTTTTATGGCATTTTTTGGAAACGTAGAAAAAGTATAGTCTGAAACACGTTTGGAATTGCATATTCCGCTCTCGTGAAACCGTCAAACTCGCCTTCACTCGAGGGGAATATGCTGTATTCCAAACTTGTTACAGAATAAACTATTATGTATTAGCTCGCAAGATTCTTCTCAGGACCGTATTACTGTGGACGACTTAGAAAATGAACTGTTTTTTCAGGAGGGCGGAGGTGAGTTAGAGGCAAAAACTCGGGCGGGCACCTCCGCGTTATATTCAAAGCTGCAAGCAACACCTCAACAAAGCTTCAATCCTCGCTTTAACGAAAATCCTAAGAGTCGTCAACAACGTAACCGTAGGATGTTGGATACTGTTCACTGATTTTTACTCAGTCATGTTCAAATGTATTTTTCTACAATGACACAGAATTTGTTGCAACATTCTAAGCAATACATGGACTAGATTACTTTCACGGCTGATGAACGTACTAATAAAAGTGAGGGGTTGCTGAATATCTTAAAGGAACATGCACATAAAAACAGCGAAGTAAAATTACATGAAAATATATTTGATGAACCATTAAAATTGTTTGGTCTGTATATTTTTATTTTTGGAGGAAGACTGTTATATGAAACTCTTTATCAAAATTTGAGATGTTCCTTGCCTTCTATAACAACAATCAATAGAACTTTAGATGAATGCCAAAAAATTAGGGAAGGTCAACTTATTAAAGACTTACTTAGTTAAGAGAAATCTGCCACTAAAGGTTTTTATAAGTGAAGATCAGACTGCCATTTTGAGAAGAATTCAGAGAAGAATTCAGTTCAAAAACAAATTTGATGACTGGATTCTGAAAATACTGGTTTCCCAATAACTGGAAAATATATTGTAAATACTTTGTCCGATATTGAAATAGCATTCAAGGAGGGAACCATAAGCAACAATGCTTACGTATTTATGGCGCAGCCTTTGGCTGAACATGCCCCTGGATTTTGTTTAGGAATATTTGGAACTAACAATAGATTCAGCTATAAAGACGTCCTAAAAAGATGGAATCACATAGTTAATGAGGCAGGAAAAGAAGGAATACGCATTGAAGGATTTTCTTCGGATGGAGACCCAAAATGGTTAAAATCAATGCGAATGTGGTCAAATGTGGGACAGTCAAATCACGAGACGAAGAAACAAGATGGATGTGAATGTCCTTATGAGTCTTATTTTAAGGTAGGTAGTACCTATACATGATCAAAATTTAAATGTCTATTTTGCAGGCTGATTTTAACTTGGAAAAACCTGTAGTACTTCAAGATACGGTACATATAGCCACCAAGTTAAAAACAAGGCTTTTGAAATCAGGTATTATTATGCTATTAATTGATAATTATTCGAAAGATAAACACCTTCTCTGCAGGTTGATGTTAGAAAGTGTGACTTTATTTTGTCCTAATATATTAGACATTGAATTGATTTATTTTTTAGGTAACGATAAGATGAACTTTGATGCTATTGATAAGATTACTGCTTTTTGTGTACCTAATAGATTTAATAAAAGGTATATCTGGCGCTCAAGCCACAAGACAGTTTCTGGTCATAACAAGATACATTATTGATGTATTTTTGAATAAGAACCTGGATATTTCCGAACGAATTTATAATATGTGGTATTCCGTTTTTTTCATTAGAGGATGGAGATTCTGGATACGGCAAAATTGCTATAGCATTCAAAATAATTGTATCACATTAAATACATACACTTGCATTGAGATTAATGCTCATAGCCTAATACTTTTAATACAAAAATGTAGAGAAGATGATTCTGTTGCTACATTTTTACCTTAGTTCTACAGTGGTCAACCCTGCGAAAAAATCTTTCGACAGACTAGATCTATGACAAGCACATATTCGACAATAGTCAACTATTGCTTAGTAGATATTTTAGAATTTAGAATTAAATCTATAAATGAGATTAGCAGTGATTAAAGTAAGTCATGGTCACATGTGGCTCTTTTTATTAAATTAATATTTTTATCTTTTGCAGGTGACAAATTTTGTTTCCCGAGAGAGGATAATAAACGATTAGGCAGTAAAAGAAATACTAGTGAACATCCAAAGAAATTACCATCCTCAGCTGAAATCAAAGAAGTTATAGAATACGCAAAAAATAACGCATTACAAGAATTGACTGCGTTGGGAATCTTTTTCTTGGAATCTAGTGAGGACTTAAATCGAGGCTTAAATGAAAACCAGTCAATGAATTCGCTGGAAAAAGTTTTCCAAACCATTTCCGTATCAGTTTTGAAAAACAATGAGAAAAATGAAGACAAAGATGAAAAAAATAAAAGTGACTCGGAAAGTGACTTGGAGAATAATATCGAATTTGGAGAAATAGAAGTGTCTAATCAGGAAAATATCGAAGAACTATCGAACACTATTCCCAGCATGACTTACAGTCGCATAAAAGAAATATTAGTAGTTCTTCCAGTACTCCATACCTAACCGTAAGATTACATAATAATAAAGAAGTTACTGTTAGAAAATCGTCGCTTTGTTGGTTTTTTAGTGAACAGTCAAAACGACTGTCGTTCGACAGATTATTACGAGTACGAGGAATGACCAGTACCCAACCAAATAATAAACAAAAGAAACAATCAAAAAAGAATTCTGTTGAAATAAAAGTTAGAAAAAAACTTCCAGAATAATGAAAGAACAAGTTGTTTTGCCCCCTTTCACCTTCCGTATGCTAATTGTACCATAAAATTAAAAAAACCAGAAATGATGTTAGTCAAACTTTGACCTCGAATAACTCTAGAAGAAATCTATTTATCGAAAAATAATAAGAGATCTTTTTTGTAGAGCAATACATTTTATATAAGAAACTGGAATGATCATTGCCATAAGTTACCTATTCCAAACATACAATTATTTTTTTCCATGTTAATTAAATGGGAAACTAAAATTAAAACAGCGATCTCTTCGAGTTGAGCTGGAACGCCCATATTTGGTGAGGATTTTTTTATATTAAATAGAAACATTTGAGAGGGTAAGAGCGGAAAAAAAATTTCATTTTATATACTTCTACAGGCACTTTTTATTAAAAACTCGCTCGCAAGCTTCGCTTGTGCCTAATAAAACTCGTAACTGCAATGACTTTTATAAAACTTGATACATAATATACTACTTTTGTTTTCTATTTGAAATTGGTTTATAATTTCAACGTCAATTTTTGAAATTAGTCATATAAAAAGACATTAGTGTTTAGATTCTGTGTTCTTTCTAATTACTTTTAATCTTTGAGGTAATTAAAAAAATTGCAATTATTCCTTTTTTTTTAGTTGTTCATTTTAGATTGAACGTGGCAATTAATTTTGAACTTAGACACTTTTAAATGCAAATTAAACCCGAAGAAGTTGCAAAAGCAGTAGCGTTAGAGAAAGATGGGCGGATACTGCGATATGCCGTTTGTGCGTTGAATAAACCAAAAACTACCATTCGAATTGCACTCCAGAGATACCGTCAAACAAACATGATGACCCGGCGTCATGGATGGGGTCGCTCAAGAGACGGAAGACAGCAAGAGACGATCGGTTTTTACTGCTACAAAGTTTACAAGACCGTCACCAAACAGCTGTAGCCTGCTCGGGTACCTAGACTAACGTTGCGGCACAGACAACAGGGACTTTGTTTGCCCAAATTCACAAAGGTTGTGATAAAAATGATTGGAGGCATGTTTTGTTTTCAGATGGATCCCGGTTTAGTTTGCGTTAACCTGACGGACGCCAAAGAGTTAGGAAAAGACGACGTGAAAGGTATAGTGCAGCTACTGTGATGGAGCAAGAGAATTTTTGGGGAGGTTCAGTAATGGTTTAGGCTGTCATTTTATTACACGCAAAAACAGAGCTTTTTATTCTTTTCGAGAACGTTCTTTGAATGAAAATTCTTACATTAGACATTCTTGAAGATTATGTTGTTCCATTTGCCCCCTTTATTGGTCCAAACTTCTTGTTCGTGCAGGATAATGCAAGGCCATATGTGGCAAGGTGCGTACTTATTATTATTTAGAGGAAGTCGGAATTGATCTTTTAATATAGCCTGCTATCAGCCCAGACATGAATCCGATTAAGCATGTAAGGGATCAAATAGAGAGACGACTTCAAGCTCGACCAGTTCGTCCAGAGACCCTAAAAGGACTTCTTAATGCTTTACAAGAAGAATGGGAGAATCTTGTTCAGAACTTCATTAATATTCTTATTCAAAGTATGCCTAGACGAATTGCTGCTTTGATTCAAGCCTGAGGGGGCAACACACGGTATTAACAAGAATTAAAACACAAGTTTTTTTTGTTTTGACTCAGGAATTTTCATCCAAAAATGTTATGGTATTTCCGATTTTGGTCAATTTTTGATGTTTAAGTGTTTTATGTGGTTTATTTTGCTTTTTTATAATAAACTTAAATTTTATCCTTTAATATGTTAAATTTTCAAAGGAAAAACTTTGTCTTACTTTAAATAAAGATATATAAAATTATAAGAATGTAGTGCGCCACAAGTGTATTATACCATCATACATTTTAGAATTTTTTAAAGCGCTGGCACATTCAAAATAAATAAGCATGCAATTGCTAAAAATAAAAAATTCTCATTATGATAAAAATGTTTTTAAAAATACTTTTTTTATGAAAAAGCAAAAGTTTTCTAGAATTTGTGAAAAGGCATGAGATTTTTAAATAAAACATGAGATTGATTGCATGCAAAAGCATGAGACCCGCCAATATTGGACAGGAGCAGTGGCGGACTAAACCCGTCGGGGGCCCGGGGCGGTAAAATAAAATGGGGCCCCTAGTCTGCTTCTGAAATGATGTGATTATTTTGTAAATATTAAAGTTTTGTTATTTTAAATTTGTTAGTAGATCCTCTCAACAAGTCCTCACAATACTCTTAATGTAATCAGGGATATGAAAATTAGTTACAAGCTTTTTCCAGGAACGACCTTTTTGTAAACGATATTTTTAAATTATTTTTTTATTTCCAATAATAATTTAAAAAAAATAATAATTTTGTTGTTGATGTAGTTTAATCCTTCCTAAATAATGGTACTTTTAATCTCTAATTTTTTTACAAATTTTAAACTTTGACCTCCAATATCATTTAAATGGATGGTTTTGCATGAAAACCTAAAACAACTTTTTTGTAAAGCGTAAAAATTCCTAAAGAAATTTGTCTTTTGTATTGTTGCATGTCTATTTATTTATTTAATAAGCGAGTTTTTTATTATGTAAAAAACAATGAAATTTAAAGAATCATCATTTAGGCAGGGTTAAATGACATCAAAATTTTTTTTTAAATTCTTTTAAAACTGTAAATAAATAATTTGCTGATACCCCAGCAAAATAAGACTAATTCAAGTCAACCTATGAAATTCAGAAAACATTTTATTTATTTATTTATTTAAAACATTATTTAAAAAGATTGTTTTTTTACGAAAAAATTGTCAAAGCCCTTTTTATAAGGGTAAAATTTCCTACAAAAATATTTTTTCTAAAAGTAAGCAAGTTATGAATAATTACTTATTTCATTAAAATGTTATTTAGGCAGGGTTAAAAAATTATTTTTTAAATTGGTTTTTGACTTATACTTACCCAAGTAAAAAAAACAACTTGGGAAATAACAGAAACCCTAATGTGTATCTCAAAAAGGAGCTCTTTTAAAGGTATTTAATAAATACTACCTATTTAAATTTAAAAACTCACAATATTGGTAATTTTGACTAATTAAGATTAGGAAATACATATATATTTTTTAGCCTAGTTAATATATTAATAAAGTAAATTTGCTCTATAGAAACATTTACTTACTTGTATTATAGAACCTTCATTGGATTCTATCTGATCTTCAAGCCATTTTTTACTACCAGCATAATTTAATTTACCTCCACCAGACAATATAAACAAAATATTGTATTTTCCTCTAGTCTTCTGATCAGAATATAAATGTGAAAATAACCTTACAAGTTCTAACAAGATTATGACACCTGAACCATTAGAATCGGCTCCATAAGACAAATCCTTTAACAAAAATATGAGTTTTGCATTTTAAAAATATTCTCTATACATACTGGAGCCACCCCAAAACTGTCATAATGGGCCACAATAGCAATTGTTGGTATTTTTCCATTGCTTCCATAACCCTGTAAATGTCCATGTATTGTGGCCAATTTTACATCATTTTTAATACTGGGATTATTTGTGGATACCACAACTTGATATCCATTAGCAGCTACTGAGCTAATAATGTTTTCTGCAGCAGATTTGGTCAAATCATTTGAGTCAATATTGCTTAAGAGTTCAGTTGTAACTGTGTCTAATTCAGGTGTCCAATTTGAAAAATATACTGGTATACTGATTTCTTCCTCTAACATTGCATTTTCCAAAAGTAATAAATGCTTAAAATAACGTAAATTGATTTAAATTTGATTAAAGAATTATAAAATCTTACCTGGTAATCTTCATCTTTTAATTTATCAACATTATGTGGTAAAACTATGATTAAAGCACCAGCTTTAGTACAAATAGATTTAAAATTATCTACTGTAAGATCTTGAAGTTTGGCCACAACACAGTGTCTTGAGGTACTCCATCCTGACACAGATCTGGCTTCCAAGTTAATATTTGAGCTACGGCAACCTAAAAGATAACCCTACTTTTATAATGAATATTAATATTTATAATGAAAGGGTTAAATAGTTAATTTATTAATCTTAATATTAAACAAATCCAATTTTAAGACACAGTTTAATAGATAAAAACTTACCGTGGGGAACTCCATGAAGATCAAAATGTTGCATTCGGTAAACGGGAAACTCATGACTTGCCGAAACTGGGTTTGCCGGTGATATTATAATAAAAATCGGTAGGAAAACTAAAACGTAATAGGGTAAATACCCTTTAAATATTTCTTCAACTTCTTCTAACCACATTTTGTAGATTTATTAAAAATTCATAAGGGAACGTGACGTTAATTAAATAAAACGAATAGGCAACCAAGGATGTACTCGTGTAACATTGGTCATCGATCTTAAAATTAGAATACGAGGGGTGCTCGATGTTATAATCCTTTAACTTGTTTGTATCCTCAGTTTCCTTTGGCTACTAAAGTAGGTATATACCGTACGTTGCAATTAAATTATTTTTAAACTGATTTTAGATTGGAATCATGGAATATTATGGTAATAATATAAAAAATAATATAATAAGACAGCAAATTCAGCGGTACTAATGTAGTAAAAAAATAAAACTTTAAATTTAAATTAACAAATTACCTAATACTTTATTTCAAATTAAAGTATCGTTAAAAACTAAGAAAAAAAACATGGAAAGTAAATAAGTAACAGTATAAATTTTTAATTTGTTGATATAATGGCAAAATTAAGGTTTAAAACTGTCATAATTTTGTTTTTCTTAAGTTGGCAGCACAAAATTTAAAATTACAATTTTAAAAAGTGCTAAAAAATGTTTTTTGATTTTTCTATAAAAATTATACAGTAATGATCAATTTTTAACCCATCAATTCTTTGGTGTTTAACAAAATTTATTGCCAGAAAAGTCTCGTAAGTAGAAAAATCAATACTTATACAAAATATTAGGTATTTTACTAGTATGCTGTTTAAAGTAGCCAACCTATAAAATCAAAATTTTGGGTGGGGTAAAGTACCTCATTACAGCACCGAAAGCGATATTATAGGTATCAATTGATATATATATATATATATATATATATATATATATATATATATATATATATATATATCAATATATATACAAGGTGTCCCTAAACTTAGTGGCATAAATTTAGGAGCAGATTAAGCAAGTCAAAATAAGACGAAAATCTAAATAAATATTTTTCCTAATTACGTGTGTTTAAAAGATACAGGGTGATAAAGTGTTACTTATAATAACAGTTTTTTTAATATAACTTCTACTATAGTAGACTTGGAAAGGTGATATTTTGCGAACAGTCACTTACTACCAAAACACATATTCACACATAATTACAATTGTTCGAGTGAACACAGTGTCGTAGAAACAGGGGTTGCTTTAGCTTATTGTCCCATACAAACTTTGAGGTTAGGTTTTTATACCATTTGATGCAATTTTTTGATTACTCAGTTCGGCTACTACCCAGGCAACACAGGGTCGTAGAAATCACGTAGAATCGTCGACGAATTGGGTCGAATTTGGTCGAAGTTACATTTCAACCATTTTTCGACGTATCAAAATTCACCAAAACACGACCAATTATTAAATTAGGTCGATGATAACCAATAAATGACGTCATTATCACGTGAACAGACGACGAAATTTTTAAGAAAATATGAAAATATAGTGATAATTAATAAGAAACAGTTGGCCCGTTTTAATGGGCCGACAAAAAGTTTTGGAATATTTTTAAAAACAAAAATTATTATTTTTATTTCATTTACGTTATTTCGACGGAGAATCAACGTGCAATATTTTATTAAAATAATTTTAAACATTATTTGGTTTTAAACTAATTAAGATAGATTAATAATTATAATTATTGATCAGTGGATTTTTTAAAACAAATTCGCGATTTTTAAATCCTTTATCATTTTATCACAAAATAAGAAATTAACATGTTACTGCAGTTTCTTTTTTAAAATAGTAAAATTTAAATAATAATCGATAATTGTAACATAATTTAATCCGCAGCGTAGTTTTGCTTGTTTTTATACAATTTTTGTTTTGATAATTTTAAATAATTTTCTGTAAATTTGATCATTTTGTCAACCCTCTTCGATAATATTAATTTTTACACCTGGCAACCCTGTTTCTCTTTGGCCTTGGGTAAGTTGGCACTACTAACAAAGCGAGGGAACGTTTATTCCTAAAAAACAATATGGTTGATTCAAGCGTCCAACTTTTATCATTTGTGGCATTTATACATAAAACAAACCATTTATACTGATAATACTTTGGCTGTGTCAGATAGGTCAATTTTTGTTTGTTTATTAATGTTTTAATTACTCAGTATATTCCGTAACGAAGTCATAACACCTAAATGAAGTACCTACATCCCAGATAGCACAAGTACGTTCGTAGGACGTTCGTAGGACTTCCACCCAGGACAACCCGAACGTCCTCAGGATGTCCGGGGTCTGCAAAAGTACGTTCGTAGTACGTCCACAGACTTCCGAAATAGACTGTTTCAGATGTCCTCAGGACGTCCGTATTTGACCGTCCACAGACTTCCGAAATAGGATGTCCTCAGGACGTCCGTATTTGACCCCAAGCTGTCCAATTCGGGACATATGAGGACCGAATTAGGACATAGTTTTATTATAATAGGGAAATGTAATACAGTGTTAACAAGTGTTTTGTTAATATATATATATATATATATATACAGGGTGTCCGGGAAAAGGAGGTCAATCCGTTAACCATATATTCCTTAAGTTAAAAACAACCTTTCATAATACTATTTTTATTTATTTCTCCATTGAATTTCACATACCTTCATATCTCTAAATTATTTAAAAATATCAAGTGAAAACTTAAATTTTGTAGGGGTTTTTTCCATATAATAAAAGTTGTTTTTCACTTATATCATATATTTAAATACACAGAAATTTAACTAAACAGGGAGCTAACCACAGAACATAAGGAGCTAACTAAAAACAGCACACGCTGTTTTATGAACAATGCCAACATGGCGGATTTCAGACTGCCAACTTAAAGTCACTAAACTGGTTACTTTCAATACCAACTGTTTATTTGGCGGTAAATTTGAAATAAACTCTTACAATTTATTGCATTAAAAATATTATAGGACAAATTAAATAAATTTAAATGTTAAAGTGGAGAAATTTCTCCAATGGTATTTTTAATTCGTATTATACATTTCTCATATAATATTATTAATTCAAATTATTAATTTGGCCAATGTGATATTTTTTATTCAACAAATTAAAAATATAATATACCTAATATATATAATATAATTAAAAATATTTTTTTAAAATTTGTAATGATATTTTTAATGCAATGAATTAATTAATTTTACTAGATATTTTTAAATAAGTTAAGCCGCGTCCAGATTTGTACCACGTCGCGCAACCGTACCACGTTGCGAACCACGTCGCGCGCAATCTGGACGTCGAAACGAACGCCGTCGCGAAACGCACTCTGATATGTGGAGGTACGTCGCGATCCACGACTTGTCGGTAAACTGACGAAACATCAAAGGATTGGTATGCGACGACGTTGAACAAGTCTGGACGGGCAGAAGGGCAATTTTGTTTGTTTAGTTTTATTTTGTGTATGAAATGGAGTGGACCGAAGAAAATATTCTACTTTTAATTAGTTTATATAGGCAAAATGAATGTTACAGGTAGTCTTTCTTGCACTGAGATTGCTTTTCGAAACTTGGTATCTTGCTTTCCTATTTTGGGCCCAATTGCATTAAGAAGATATTCAAAATCTATTGTTGACATTTGAGTAAAATTTTTATATTGACCACTAATTCTTTGCATCTTTAAATCTGCAAGCAATTTGTTCGCACCATATTTCGATCTATTTCTAAATATTTCTGTTTGCCACCACCGCCTTTTTTGTTTTCGCTTTTTAGTTGATAAAACGAAATGAATACACTGAAAAAAAAGATTTCTTACATTTAGAATAGGGGAGGGTGGGCCACCATGAGACAGAAAAAGTTATTATTTGATATTATTGTTTTTTAAATAAGATTGTGGCGAAAATTTATTTGTACTTCATAAATAATAATATATAAAGACTAATAACAAAAAAAATAAATAAATTTGTTATCGGTAAAAAAGTTATTGATGGTTCTTTTTTTTTGTATGTCTCATGGTGGCCCTTAACTGGGGGCCACTATGAGACATGACTAAATGTAGATAAAAAATACCAATTTGGAAGAAAATATTTAATACACAATAACAGGGTTCCCGTTTGTCATAAAATTTTTAAATATCATAAAATTGGTTAAATTGTCCTAAAATGTCATAAAATTCACATTTTGTCATAGAAATCATAAAATTTCATTATTTTTTAACAATTTTCTCAGCTTTGATCTTTTTTATAAAATGGAAATTTTGTAACATAAAATTTAAAGCCGGTCCTGTAGAATAAAACGCAATAAAATGTTTTAAATATGGCCTTGGTTGTTGACGTATGAACTTCATGCTATGAAGGAAAAAGAAGTTTGGTTAGGAAATGAATTTTAAATTTGAAATAAATAATGAGAAAGGTAAATTTATTTTTATACTACCATACTTTTTCTACGTTTCCAAAAAATACCATAGAAAAATAATTTAATTGGAAGAAAGTGAGGTTGGATTGGTCTAAAATTTGTTAGATATTAAAAACAGAGATGTCGCCACGAGTGTTTATTCTGTCATCAGATGATAGAATATTTCATTCTGTAACACTTTACGGAATAAATCCATAGATAAAAGTGATATTAGAAGGGTCAAATTCCGTAATAGGAGTAGAAAAATATTATTTCTGAAGGAAACAAGAAATTATCGAATTACCTTAACAATAACTACATAACTACTCTTAAAAAATCTGTAATATTGGAGGCTCAAACAATGATTAACAAGGGTCTAAAAAAAGAAAAAAAAATAGTACGTATATATATACTATTTTTTTTTGCTGTTTTGAGACCCATGTTAATCATTGTTTGAGCCTCCAATATTTCAGATTTGTATACCTTTTTGGTTTTATTTATTTTGAGATTATAATACCTATTATAATGAAATACTAAAGTAACATATATTAAAAATATTATAGCAAAAATATTTATTTTGATGCGAGAAAAAATATTTATTTTTATATAATAAACCGTTAAAAAATTACATTTATTTTATTAAATAACTTTAGAAATAATAAATTCTTGCCATAAAAAGTGTCATAAAATTTGAAAAATTTGTCATAAAATCATAAAAAAAAGTACAAAACAATGCTGGGAACCCTGCAATAATAAGACAAGCTATTAAGCAAAAAATAATGCAAACTACACGTAGATT